CGTACACATTTCGCTCTAGTGTTTATACTTACGGCTTTATATCGGCATCAAAGTAACCGTCTTCAAAAGCAAACGAAATAAGCTGTTTTCATTTGACATTTTTTAAGTTAACATAATGGAAAGTGATAAAAATCTAGTTTTATTCGGCATTATAAAATCGTGGCAAAGAAAAAGAACGCTTATTATTAATCAGCTTTTAAATACTGATGCGATTATTTGGAATTTGAGCGGAACAGCTGATCTCCAATTCGCTTTGAGTGAGAGCGGTGTTTATACACTCTTTCTAACTGCCTGGAGAAATAAACTACCGATTTGAAATGGAGTGTGAGCCAAAACACTTCGCTCTTTCAAAGCGAATTGAAATTCAGTTTATACATATGTTTTGAATCGCGGCGAAATGAATTAAAGCGACTTTTGCATGAGTATAAACGTAGTAATATACTAAAAGGCATACGTAAACGCCATCAGTTGACTGTCCGTGTTTGTTTTCACCACACATTTTTGGTGAACTTTTTGTGACTCTCTCCTACTGAATAGCCAAATAGTCTCAAGTCACAAAAATAGTCACTAATTGCTAATCTCAAATTAAGTGACTTGAGATGAGACTGAATTACTGAATCTTCCCCTAAATATCTTTAGTTGTCGAAACTAATCCTTTTCCTCAGTGTATTTGAAGAAATCGTTACGGAAGAGCTATCTTATTACATAACGCCTGTTATCGATGTATCACAACACGGCTTTTGTAAAGGCAAATCAACTGTATCAAACTTTCAATGGTTTCAAAAGTGACTATCAAACTGACGTCATTTACACTGATTTCAGCAAGGCATTTGATAAAGTATCTCATTCAACTCTAATATACAAACTTGTTAAAATTGGTTTCCCTCCAATCCTGCTGCGCTGGCTTTCTTCTTATTTCATTGGCAGGAAACAGAGTGTTATCTTTAAAAAATGTTCATCTCGGGTAATTCATGTGACGTCAGATGTACCTCAAGGTAGCCACCTTGGCCCCCTTCTGTTTCTTTTATTCATCAACGATCTTCCAAATATTTTGAAGTATTCTAATTGCTAAATGTACGCAGACGACGTTAACTTATTTAAGTTCTTTGGTGATCCAGGAGACAGGGAGCAATTACAGGCAGACCTTAGTAATGTGTCTAAATGGTGGGAAGTAAATTCTATGTCACTTAACTTGAAAAAGTGTAAATGTATGTGTTTCTCTAGAAGACCCTTTCAATCATATAGCTACTAGAGGTTTACGCCGACAGGCTTTGCGGCGGCGGCGTGGCCAACTTCAAAAAGAATCGGCGATGGCGGCGACGCCGGCGCGTCTGGAAACGCCGGCGCTACTGCCCATAAGGTAGATTCCAAAGAGCCATGAAGCTTCTGATCTTATCATGTCATCAGATTATAATTCTATTTAATTCATTCATTGAATTCAAATGTTGAGAGACTTCTGCTGATGCAAGGGCGAACAGAAGAAAGTCTATATAGTATATACATTAGGTTTCCCATCGAAAATGCTTTTTTTGAAAATTTAAAGATCGTACCCCCTAAATTGATTCGTTTTTATGAGAAATATTATTATCTATTTTTATAGATTTTTTTGCTTGAATTTCAAAGAATTTTTTAAATTTTGACCATCGATAATTTCCACAATTTGAAAATATGTAATACTAACGTACAAAAACAATTTTCGATGGGCACCCTAATATACATACATCTCTATGTACTCCACAAATCCGTATGTACTATTTTAATTTAATAGAAATAAAAAAATGTAAAGGTTAAGTTATTGGGGTAATTTATGTCGCCATCAATAAATTTTTGCAATAAGCTTTTCAACCGTTATGTTAAATTACGGAGTTTTTACGATTTTTTGCGGGTTATATATTGAAAATAAGGTTGGCCTACTTTTTTCCAAAAGTTTAACCCATCAACTCCCACCCGAACAGGCCTTTTTGACCCACTGTTTGAAAAATTGCTTATAAATGGTTAAAATTTCCACTAATATATTATGCGCCAAATTTTTCTAAGGAGAACAGAATGTAATACAAAATAATAGTAATTTTAACCAAAAAGGGGGATGTTAACTCTGTGTAGAAAATATTTCGATGCGCGGGAGCAAAATCTTCCTGGGGTTTGACCACTACTTAGGAATACTAACGCAATTTTCACACATCCACCTAGTTCTTGTATACGTCTGTAGGACCCCAGAATAAATTATTTACGAATGTAAACATTAGCAAAAAAGTGTTTGCTTTTTATTAAAATTCTGTTTAAAATCAAAAAAAAAAACACACAGGAAAATCAAGTAGTCTAGTGTTTTATCTCCAATAATTGAGGAGTTAAATGCAATAAGGGCGCTTCTGTTAAAACTGCTTTCTGAGATATTGGCGTTAAATTTTTTGATGTGTTATAACTTTTATAGGATGTAGTATATAAATAAGTAGTATTGTTGTAGTATTGAAACTAATTTTCTACTGCGGAAAAGATCGTCAGATTACCCTTATTCCACCCTAATTTAACTGTAATAAACGCTTTCGATCAAAAACGTGTTACCTATGTTTCTTCTGAGTTACGCTTTTTTTTGAAATGTTCCGTGGCACAAATTATGCAAACAAAAAAAAACTCGTTTTAAAAATTTAATTTTCATTTCGTAATATAGTTTCTTTATACGAGTAGTATTTAGTTCCTTCAAACGATGTATTTCAATGTGCATACAACATGAAAATTTTGTACAAAATTCCTTAGGCGCCGAACGCCGCCACCGCCGATATTTTCGTAACTCGGCGGCGGCGCGTGAGAAATGGAAAAAAACGGCGGCGACGTATACCTCTAATAGCTACCGCATTTGTGAACATAGTGTTGATCAGGTAACTAATTTCATCGATCTAGGAGTAACCATGGGCCCTACGCTTGAATTCTAGTCCCATGAAAACTCTTGTGTTAATAGAGCCAAGGGCGTCTTGGCTTTCATCAAACGTTGGGCTAAAGAATTCAGAGATCCTTATGTCATGAAAGCTCTCTTCACCTCCCTAGTCAGGGCGATCTTAGAATACGGGTCCGTCGTATGGAACCCTAGATATCAAACGCATTCTGACAGACTCGAGTCGGTACAGAAACAATTCCTATTATTCGCATTAAACAATTTGCCTTGTGATTCGACATTAAATCTCCCACCGTACAAAAGCTCGGGGTTTTGTCATGATTAAGATCTTGAGCGGGTTGGTCAATAGTCCCTTTCTACTGAACCAGATCACGTTTTGTATTCTTTCTAGACCTTCTAGGTATTACAAGCCCATTAAGCTAACTATTTGTAGAACAAATTTTGAAATGCATAATGCTTTTCGTTGCCTATGCCAGGACTTTAATAAACATTACGACTATTTTGACACCTCCGACTCACTTTTTACCATTAAGAAAACCTTACTTGAGATTTTAAATAAATAACAAGTAAACCCTTACATTGCACCTTATCGTTCAGCTATTGAACTCCATTTCTGTTCAGTTTATGAGGTAAACGTGGTCAACAGCGAATAATATCTTTTAACATAGAACGATAACTAATGTATAAAACTCAATTTAAAAACAAGTAATTTTTAAGTAAGAAACAAACCGGCTTGAATTCCCATATAAAAATTGGAGATTATCGTTAATTTCTTCATGATCCAATGGTCAGATTTATACCAAATTAGTATGGGACCATCTGTGAGATAACACCTTTCCTGACAAAAAAAAAGAATCATAGAAATCGGTTAACGTTGTCCAAAGATATGCGACAACATAAATAAATAAAAAAATATTTCGACGAATTGATAACCTTCTCTTTTTTGTGAAGTCTTTTAAAAATACCAAACGATTTCTTAGTTCTATGCAACTGTCATGAAAGAATGTGACAGCGAATAATATCTTTTAACATAGAACGATAACTAATGTATAAAACTCAATTTAAAAACAAGTAATTTTTAAGCAAGAAACAAAATGGACTTGAATTCTCATATAAAAATTGGAGATTATCGTTAATTTCTTCATGATCCAATGATCAGATTTATACCAAATAGTATGGGACCACGTGTGAGGTAACACCTTTCCTTAAAAAAAAAAGAATTATAGAAATCGGTTAACGGGGTCCAAAGATATGCGACAACATAAATAAATATTTCGACGAATTGATAACCTTCTCTTTTTTGTGAAGTCTTTTAAAAATACCAATCGATTTCACAGTTCTATGCAACTGTTATGAAAGAATTTGACTGGTGGGACATTGAAAAGAACTCTATTTTATCTTTGTGCACTGAAAGATGCACCTAAACACTTATTTTCCAAGAAAGATGTTTTTGTGTTGTAAATTAGATTAGGCTGATATGATACTTATAAGAACATTAAAAAACATTTTTAGTTGTGGTCGGTCGGACAGATCATAGTGACTGGTGTAAAGTAATTATATATGAAGTAAAAGTTTCCACGGCCAAGATTACAGCTTTTCATGTTTTAATATTTTTCAACAGATTTATGAAATTTAGTTATTTGAAAAGATTACTACTGAAATAGGGATATTTAGGTAATTTTAGTGGGTCGATTATCGATAGCAACCAAACTTTGAAGACTTTAAGTTAATTTTATTTAAAACTTAATTTTAATTCTTAATTTTTAAAAATTTCATTTTACTAACACAGCTTGTTTACAACCACTTACTGGTTGCCGAACTGTAAATTTTCGATTGTCGATAACTCTACAGCAACTGACGACAGTTGCCGTTCGGAACACAAATTTTCTTTCCGGTTGCAATCCCAGCTGCCAACCAAACCGTGGTTGCGTTGCTATCCGTAATAGACCCATAAAATTTATGTCGTTTTCTTCTTTTACATGGAATGACCCTGAATCCTAATATATGTTTTTAGCTCTACTTTTCATTATCGATTTTTTCAACACACAATACTGTTTTACTTAATTCTTTTACATTTATGCGAAAAATTTCAAGAATATTTTTGTTTTAGGTATAGTAAAACCTGCGTCGAAGGTACCGGGTTGCTTGCTACACATATCGCAAAAAATAATGTACAACCAGTCAAATAACTCGAGGGAAAGGTACAGAATGGAGCCTAAATTTCAATTTATAAAAGTGAATGAAATATCATTTCGAGGAATTCCAAGTACCCTGGACTCACGAACGGCGAAGTGTAATAAGGATTGTGTTCAAATACATTGCTTGAGGAGATCGAGTGAAGCTGGAAACTATATAATTGTAAAAGAAACAGCATTTTAAGTATAACTTGTCACATACATATGTACTTGAATTCGTATTGAGTACTAAATTTTATTTTCAGAATGTTGTATTTACTTATATTATTGTAAATGTTTGATCAAATATATGCCAGAAACTCGAGTAAATTCCGAAATTTACATAGATTGTATTATCTTTCAAGCATCAGTTGTGTTTAAAATTTCTTTTGTAAGTAAGTCTTTATCATTGTCTTTTTTTTAAATATTAGCAACCCGCACCTTGTTTCAGACAGGTGTGTCATACGTTATAAATAAAAAAAAGTAATTTCTAGTCACATTTTGAAATGATGGTTTAAATAAAAGAACAAAATGTACTAATAAATGAAACAAAATTTTTTTGTCAATGTTATTGTTATGTTATGTCATTTTATTCTTTTATTATTATTATTGAGCTTCGTATCACGATTGAAAATGGAAAAAGCAACAAAGTCTAAGCTAGGGTTGCCAGATTTTTTTTGCACGAAATCAGTACTTTAGAATTTTACGTGCTATAAAAACACTGGTCGACGGCCAAAATTTACCAGAGACGCCGTTATGAAATTCGTATGTAAAATCACCCCCTGATTCCGAAAATCAAGGTTATTTTTAATTTTATGGTACCGTTTTTGAGATATTTGCAATTTACCGTTTTTGCAAAAAAAAAAAAAATTGGGTCCACTTAATCATATATATCTCAAGAACGAAGTA